ATCATGTACCTGTACATACACAGTACACACACACGCGTGCGCGCAGGTATAGTTTTCCGAATCAATCGCTTTGCCAGTTGCAGGTTTTATGTTTGAAACCTGTTCGTATAGTAAAGTATTATAGCCCATAGGTAACGAGTACCTTCAGTACCTACGTTAAATCCAAACGTGTTGAGAAAAAAAAAACCACTGCATTACGTTTTCAACAACACTTCTATGAGATTATTTTAACCAATAAATCAAATCGGATTTATTAGGTATGTAATAAAACCGCTCAACGTTTATAAATATATACATGATATATCATTCATCTATTACTTTAGGTCTACCTATACCATCATTTATATATATTATTTATATATATCAGTGAACACAAGTCAAACGTACGCGGCTTTTTAAATGTGCGTTAATATTTTATTTTTGTTCGGCGCGTTATTATATGTTTATATTGTGCATAAAAGAAGAAAATCAAATGCATTATTCATAAACGGAGTTCAACATATTATACATGATATCGGTACATTGTCAACTGCCAACACCTATTATAAAGCGAATTATTATACAAACGCCTATATTTATAGGTACACGAAAATATTCCACGAGTGCTATTTTTTTTCAACATATTTTGTCGCTATATAATTCATATTATACAGTTCCTGCGAGCAAGTATGCACATAATATAGTGATCTCTTGCATTGAACTCAGCCGCGGGATCGTGATCGAAAACGTAAAGTATAATCGTGTCGTAAAGGGCTTGAACTATATCTGTTTCGGTGCTTTTTTTCGAGTTCGGGGCATACCGCGCCGTATCCTATATATATTATATATGTATATATAATTTTTACCGACAAACTTTCACTCATCGGATGTAAAATAAATACCACAGCCGGGATTGTTTAAAAATACCCCATATAGCTCTTGTTCACACAGGGAAATATATTCCAACAGGAAATCGTTAATGTGCATTGAAATTATGCGTTTCTGGTGTAAAAAAAAAAAAAAACGTGACACTTGACATTATGCGGCGGGTTATATGCATTGTTGCATAAACATTACTCCCCGTTAAAAACGTATAAACGAATATCAATATTCTCATTTACATAGTATAATAGGTACATACAGGATGATTCGTCAAGTACGCTCACCCCCTTTTTCTTTTCAATAATGTAGCTATGAAAAAACTGATTTCAGGAATTTTTGTATAATAATACTTAAGATAACATTTTAAAATTCTTGAGATTTTTTTGTACTACTATTGAGGGGTGTCTATAGAAATACAACCTGATGTTTTTCAAATGAGTACCTCGATTTCCTATACTGTAAATTATTTAGTGAATAATTTTTCTGAAAATTTTGATAACTCATAACCAAAATTTGAATGAGTACCTAGTTATTCAACTTTGTATATAAAATGTAAGGCCTATAATTTTGAGTTTGAAATTTAGAAAAATTAGGCTTTTACCTAATGGTGATTTGAAACTGTATTCACATTTATAATTTTTAAAAATATTAAATCTATATAATATATTAAAACAACTTTTTTAGGGCTACTATATATCTTTGTTTTTGAATATATTTAAAAGTTCCAAAAATCAGATTTTAAATAAATTAATTATTAAAGGGAAAATAGGGAAGAGCATACTTGAAGAATCACTCTATTTAAAAGGTGACATTTTATCTATTTTAACAAAACTCATTAATCAAAAAATGTTTGGTCTAAAATAATATTATTATATCCATAGAAATTAGATACATTCATAAAAAATTTAGAAGTTGATTAAAACTAAAATAAATTTAATATGGTAATAATAAGTATAATATGTTTCATGTTTGTAAACATAATTCTACATGAATTAACTTACTCATTATTAAATTCAGTACAATGATATTGTTTTAATGCTGATGTAATACAAATAAATTAAAAATCTAAACAGTTAATAAAACTTGTAAATATAAAATTTAAAAATTAAATATTAATTGCATATTTTTACACTCGTGAAGAAATCGTGATCAAAAATTAGTTTTTTTTTTTTTTAATAACCAACTTTCCAAATAAACTTGTATTTACATATTATACTGATACCATTTATTAGATCGCGATTAACATAATGTAGTCTAGGAAATAGTAATTAGAAATCTAAAACATGATCGTGTAAAATTTAAAAGGATGTAAACTATCAGGACAAATCTACGACTATTATTAAAACTATTCAAAACATGAAACGTGCGTTGTTGTGAGTACCTATATGCTGTACGTATTTAAAAATGTGTAACATACTAACATATTATAATAGTACAACTGTGCATAAGAATATATCAATACATTGGTGAAATCACAAACGAATAAACATGTGGCGTGGTAAATAAGGATCGAAAATGTTTAGAAAAAAAAGACCTGTTTCGATGTTTTCACCGTATACAAAAAGAAAATCTCAACGATTATATTTTTACAGTATGCGTAATATGTATCTATAGATACCTAACTCTACATGGATGTTTAGACCCAACCATAGTCGCCGCCTAATCATGCCACCTATGTGGTCTTATTAATATTTAATTATATACGTTTGATACACTGTATATGGTAGTATATTATATTATCTATATCTACGGCGTGATTAATGATTCACCTGATGTAATGAAATCTGTTTTTATTATTTATATTATATTTGATGATAGTATCTATAGGTACAACAGATTCAATGTGCGCAATGTAGGGGCGTTGCCACTTTACTTCACGACCATCAAAATTAATAATTGTTCTGACATCAATCGCGTGTTATGACAATTATAATTTTGATATCCTATGTACGTAAAAAGGAAAGAAATTAACGTTTTATAATTTTTATACCGATTCCGAGATATCTGTTTCGAAGGTTTTGGGTTGCTGTTTTAGTCATGTATAGAGTATAGACATGAAGTAATTATATATTATAATAATATATTGTGTACAACTAAATGTCTAAATGCTGTTATAATGTATTGTAGGAATTATTCTAACTAGGGATTTTTTTTTATTTTTAAAATTGCTACAATTCGATATGTCTACAAATAAATAGTATAGACTGTTTTCAAAATCAAAAAGCTTATACTTATTAATTTTATATTTTATTAATGTTGATGGGATAGAATTATTATAAAACTATAGTTTAAACGTTACTTTATACTTCAGTACTAAATGTTTTTCACATATTGTATACGTATATATTTATAACTTGAATGCAATATAAGGTACAATATGCATAAAATATAATATTAATAATATTTGTATCTACCGCATTTCCGGTTAGTTGTTGTTTAGTGAATATAATTTTGTAAACATTTTTTTTTTTTTTTGGTTAAGATCGGTGAGAGTTGATAGCACTAAAACGTTAAATCACTACACTGTAAAATTACCACGATTCGCCACTGATATGTAATAATAACCAATACAAAACATTTATATACGTATTTATTATTTTCAATGCCTCAATAAAATTTAGATCAATTCAATTTTCATAGTCGACCTGATCGCACTGTAAGCACACCTTTGAGAAAATATTTCCTAAAAAAAAAAAAAGGTTCTATTATCATTCTCTTCTATGGTGTTCTCAAATTCATGTAAAATAAAATAATTTATTATAATATTATGACTGCATAAATTAATTGATTTACATTCTCATTTATATATTATATAAGCACTTATTTATAACACTTCGAGTATTAATAAACATGACTTATGTACTTTTACAGGATACAACTTGATTCAAAGCCTTAATAAAGTCGAAAAAATCAATTACAAAGAACTATGTAGGTACGTAATGTTTTACTGGGAGGTAGACGATGTACATTTTATCACGGTGACTTTTCAACGTAATTTATTTTCTTGTCTTATACTAGCTATTACATATTATTATTATTATGTATGTACGCATAAAAACGTCTAGAACGACAATATTCTGTCAAAAAAATGACGACTTAAATCGGCGAGCGACGTTGACGACTATTATTATATCTTCACGACGTAGAGGAAAACGGTTTAGATACTTAAGAGGTACTCATATTATGTTCCGCGTTCCGGAGGAAAACTCGCTCGGTGCTCCAGCCGAGGTATACGGCGGCGCGTACGACACATACGCGAGTTTAAATAAATACGCAAGCACACACGTACACACACACACACACACACACGCGCGCGCGCGCGCGCTCGTACACGACGACCGTGGGAGCCGAATCTTAATAATAATAATAATAATAATATAATCGACGCGGACGAGGACGCGAAAAGACGTCGTCTACAAAAGGTTAGGGGAGCGCGTGCGCGTCTGTTATATTAATGATAATAATATGCGTACCTATATACCTACCACCGCGGACAATGACGGTATAATGTATAATAATAATAATAATAATAATAATACTATAATACACGCACGCACACCCGTGTGTGTATAATGGCGTGCGTGCGTGCGTACGCGAGCGCGCGCGCGATCGGTCGTGTGTGTGTGTATGTGTGTTTGCGCGCTCGCGTGTGTGTGTGTGTGTGGAAGCGCGCGCCGCCGTACCTCTAAATTAGCGCGTGGCAGGTGTGCGCGCGTGTTGTGCACGTCTACTGCTGTTACCGTGGTCGGCGGCCCGAGGCGGCGCCCCTCTCGCGGGCATGCCTACAATGATATAATAATATATATGTGTATGTGTATATTGTTGTTGTTGTGTGCGTGTCCCGCGCGCTGCACAACCGGCGGTGCGCGCACTGTGGGAATGCGACCAAGATTCCCACGGGCGCCCCGTCACACGCCGCCGCCGCCGCCGCAGCACACTTCCCGCCGCCGTCCCACCGCGGCCGTCTATATAAAACCGGCCGTGCCCTTGGGTCATGCCGTCATTCGTACGATCCGCATCGAGCAGTCAACACGCTCTCGTCCGTCTTACGAATTTTTTGCTACACACGTTTTTTATATTTTTTTCCGTCGTAATCTCCCGTATTACATAAAACATATTTTTGTAAAAATATTATTACTGTTAATAATAATAATATTGTCTTGTGTGTGTGTGTGCGTTTTGTCGACAGTCATATATTTTTAAAATAATAATATTGGACTGACGATTTCGAGTATCCTTTCGAAGTGTCGTTCATCGATATCATAACAATATAATAATATAATTTATATTATAATATTATATCCAACGCAGACCGCGATTGTTTCGAAATGCGTCCAGCCGCCGAACTCAGACCGTCGTACCGAGTACAGATGCACATGCAAATGCAACAGCAACAGCAACAGTACCAGCACCAACACCAGACCGGGTCCGAATACGACGAACAACCCGTGTCGCGGACTTATCAATACAGAAAGGTAAGAATCGATTACTATTTTTTCGCTGTTTATATATTATATTTTAATTTTTTCGGTTTTTCGTCGGTCCGTCGAGTATAATAATATAATATACGTTTCATTTGAAACGCGATCGGTCAACGATAATATAATAATAATTTTATACTCGGACGATGATCGTACGACCTATCGTATAATATATCTATAGCTTCCGTTTTTAATAAAAAATTTCTTATCATCAGGTGATGAAACCGCTTTTGGAACGCAAACGTCGCGCCCGGATCAACCGGTGCCTGGACGAGCTCAAAGACCTGATGGTAGTCACGCTGCAGGCCGAAGGCGAGAACGTCAGTAAACTAGAGAAGGCCGACATACTGGAACTGACAGTCCGGCACTTACACAAGCTTAAGCGGCACAACGCGCTCGGACTGACTGGAGTCGATTCAGTGTACGCCGATAAGTTCCGCGCCGGTTTCGCGCACTGCGCCACCGAAGTGTCCAACTACCTGACGTCCGACGTCCGATCGCCGCCCGTCGACCCATCCGCTGGCGTCAAACTCCTACACCACTTGGGAGCTTGCATGCGCAAAATCGACGTCGACTCCAACCGTTCCCCTTCCGGTACAGCCACCAACGTCGCCACCACTGCCGCCGACCAGTATAGACCGTACACGCCACCGTCTACACCCGGAAGCGAGCTCAAAGAAGACCCAAATTCGGTCTGTTGGAGACCGTGGTAAACACGAAGTGTTTATTTTCGTAAAACCTTTCCCCCCCTTCAACGCCCCCCGACTAAGACTGATATTCGACCCCGATGTAGAGATATTGTATACTACATGAAGACAATTATAGGTTATTATATAAGTTTTATAATATTATTATTACTAAAAAGTTTGTTGTTTGCTTATCATATATTATCATATTATTTATTTTTTTTTTCGAGATAGTATTATTTTTATGTTTTAGTATTTTTTTTTTTTTTTTATCATTAATTCGTTGACTACCATTCTTTTTTTGGGTAAAAAACATATTTTATAAATGTATAATAATATAATGGTTGCAGTGGATACGGCATTACGGCTATTTACCAAAAAAATTAAAAATACCTCTTTTTTTGTATTTATATACGTATATTGTTTATATGCGTATATAATATTTAGGTATATATTGCATTGAAATAGAACTTAAGACATTTTTTTGATTGTGAAATAATAATATACATATAGCACAATATGTTTAAAAAATAAAAAAAAATGTATCCCACAGTATATATATTATGTATAAGAATTATTCTGCGTTTGTGCGGAAGATCTAAAAAAAAAAAAAAAAGCGTATCTGTGATAATAATAAATATTATGTGTTTTACAAGAATACATTAAGTATATTCAAACATATCTCATACGTTTTATTGTTTTTTCCTTTTAAGTAAAAAAAAAATATCGATCGATCAATCAATTTGCTGTCGTCGTCGTCGTCGTTTCGACGACGACATGACCGTCGTATCATAATGCCCCCGCGGACCGCCGAGACGATAAGTCAATTTGTGTTCGTACGTGACTAAACCGTTCGGTTCTGGGAACCGCAGGTCGAAATAGGGGAACGCGGTGAGACAGTGAAGAGAAAAAAATTGACGAGAGGAGAAAAAAAGCGATGAAAAAACTGTTCACTAAACACAGGTATGCACACGACACGGTATACAGGTATTATAATAATATATACCTATATACATGACTAGTGGCGAGGTCTTGTGCGTAGGAAACAATAATAATAATATATAATAATATATAATAATAAATATATATATGTGTGTGTGTGTGTATGTGTACGAAAACACGACGCGACAACGGCGACGGGACCATTACAACAGCTACGACGACGACGACGATGAAAATAATAATAATAATAATATGACGATTCACCGCCGGGGCCGGTATTGTTCGGACGACGACGACGACGGCGGCGGCGAAGAAGAAGACGACGAAGCCAAGTTCTCACGGTGTGCCGGTTCGGTGGTGCGGCGGCGTGCGGTGGCGCGCAGAAACCGTGACCGATTATGCGGGTACGCACACACACACACACACACACTGGCGCAGGCGAACACGAAAAATACACAATCCGATACGACGTGTCGTCGTGACGAGCGCGGCGCGCGCTCACGTATCTCCGGGCGCGCGCGAGCTCGCGTGTGTGTGTGTGTGTGCCCCCTACATGCGATATATATAATAATAATATAATATTTTTATTATTATTACGTGTTTGCATTGACGTTATAATATATCGGTTCCGGTATTTACGATCCTCGTCGGTGTGCGTCGGTGTGCGGATGGTCGCGCGGCGGCGGCGACGGTGTGTTCACTGCGTCCGTAAGCGGCGGCACGCCGTACGTGACCGGCGCGATATCCCATCACACGCCGCACACTAATCGCCGCCCGGACGCCGGACGAAATACACGAAAAAAAAAATTACTCCCCCCCCCCGCCGCCGCCGTGTGTGCGTACCCGCCGCATAATGTAATATTATTATTATTATTATTATTATTATCATCATCATCATCATTATCATTATTATCATTATGGACAGGTACGATAATAACACTGTAAGCTACGACTGACCGTGTGCTATTCGCGCGCGTGCGTGTGTGTGTTTAGTACTCGATTAGGACTTGGGACGCGACGCGACTGTGAAGCGCACGAGTGTACGCGACACGACGCGCATGACATTGTTTTAATCATAATATTAATATTATTTATTTTTTTTTTGTGATTTATAATGTCTATTAGAATATTACTCGATCTACATGTTATGTTTTATCGAATTTATAATTTTAATCATTTTTCTAGGACCGGGTAGGAAATACGCGTATTGCTGATGTCTCCACGCGTGACGGCAAAGGAGTCTCTAGCGAATTTCGAAACTGTAGAACGACGTTTTCACGGGATCCTTTCCACTGGCGCGCGTCCTTATAATATGTAGTGTTCGCAAAAAGATAAATATTTTCGAAAAGGTCCATTTTCTTCTGTCGACATCTCCGTGTATTTTTCATTTTACCTCATTTTATCAGGAAAAAAGTGCATTGTGAATTTCAAAACTATAAACTTGCATGTCAGGATCACCATATACACTAAAATCGTAAAAAATGTTCATAAAAAATTTACATTTTAACAGAATAGTGTAGGAAATTCGCAATTTTAACCGCTCCGTGTGATTTTGATTAGACAATGGCAGTAGGTAGTATAATATCTTGTAAATTTCAAAACTATAGACTAGCACATTCACGGAAATGACGTGAATATTAGTTTTTATTATTGAATAAATTGATTATTTCTATTTAAGTATATGCTGATAATATATAGTTGTCTGTTGCTGTCTATTAATACAATATTTTTCAAAAATGTTGATTTTAACAAGGATGGATCTGAAATACGTATTTTTTGCCACTACATACATGTAATTCTATTTTATCGGGGGACAAAGGTATTAACTAATGTATAAAAATAAATAATATAATAGTGATAGGTCACTTAAAAAAAAAAAATACAATGTAAGGGATGTAATCCCTAACTTCCTGCCACTTGTACACGCCAATGAAGATAAATAGACTTATGAAAATGGCTGGTTTGGAAAATATGGAGGTTATGGTAATTTGAAAGTTTTAATATAATTTATATTAATCCAACAGTATTTATTGTTTACAAAAATGGTTCAGCTTAAAATAAGTACTATCTATATTGAATATTATACTCTTCTCCCCATTTCACATTCTTTTTTAAAATCAATTTTAGACAACTTTTATCTTTAATTTTTTATATAGTCTAGTTAGTATAGTTATGTATGTACTATGTAGTATACTTATATAGTATTATACTATATACGCACTTAATAATAGTTGCGGTGTTGTACTGTTGAATAAAATTCATAAATTGCCCTAAATGTGTTAGAATATATTTTAAAATATATAGGTATATATAGCTATAATAATCACAATTTATTATTTTTCAAGATTTTTCTTAAAAATCATTAGGTATTTCATAAAAAAAATATGGTGATCTAGTCCCCACACAATATTATGGTCGGACGATTTTTGTAATGTGCGCGCGGAGGGTACGGGACAATATTATTACATTAGACATATATAATATATGCCACAGACTTCAGGTCGTATATACCCGGAAAACTCGTCTTGAATTTCGGTCAGACGAGGAGAAAATAATCGCCCAAATAGTTATTTTATCATAAGTTTTAAAATTAGTAAGTTTTCAAGGATAACTACATATTAAAAATCAATTACCACCACCTAGTGCGTTCCCGTACAGATTATATTCTCCCATACAAGTATGTTACTATACATAGCATTTGAGCTTAAATTCCCTGACTGTTCGCAGGCATACGGTAAATATTAATTTCTTGATTATAGCCTCTTAAAAAATAAAACCGACTTACCAACTTTTCTATCCAAAATTTCTAAAATTCTTTCTAAACTGACCTCTCATTATGTATCAAATAATATTTTATAATTCATATACTCGTATTATGCCTATAACTATTACATCGTTAGACAAATAATAGTTGATAACATAAAATCGGCGCTGGCCATGCACAATGTGTTGTTTTTCATATGTTCACACGACGCGCATAATACATTATATTATCATGTTATACTATCGTCCATAAAAAATGGTTCACGCAAATAAAAAAATAAAACTTATCCGTCACACGCGCGCGGGTATACAAGTACTTATTATCTATCTATATATGCATATAATATACATAGCCATACAATAACACATCTGCAGCAATAACTTTGTTATATCGTGTATGGTATGCGTGTGTGAACGTATGAACAATATACCGGACTGACGTTCGAGAGTACCTAATGCGCAAGTGCAACGTTGCAACGGACGATGCAGGTCGGGCGCGCAACAAATGAGATGAAAAACGGTGTTTTTTTTTTTTAGGAGAGGTCGAAGACTCGACGCTGAGGCGGCGGCACGCGGAGAAGAAAAAGACCGTAGTGAAATCCATTTAGTAGAGGCCGTCCCCATCCGGTCCGGTACCCACCGGAAACGCACATAACGTAATATAATATTATACTTGTACACACGGACGTCGCGCGTCATGTACAGTCGTATTTCGTTTTTCTCTCTCCGTATAGGTCCACGACTCTGCGTTCGTCTCTCTTTCTCTCGAGTGTGGCAGACGATGAGAGGACATAGCAGTGTAGTTGTTCGTGTTTTGTAATGGCCTAATCAACGCTGCTATTATTATCATTATTTTCTAACTCGACGCCACCTTCGATTTAGCCAACTATACCGTGATATTATCTATAAATTAATGTTGTTTGTTTGTCTCCGCTACAAACTCAAAGACAACTAGATCGTTTTAAATAAAAGTTATTCCTTATAGATTCCTCACGATACTCGAAAGCTGTACATAGTAAAATCTGAACTTTGTTTTGTCTCATGAAAATCGCACATCTTTTTGTTCATTTAAATAGTTGTAATTGTTACAGATTAAATTATTATTATGATACATTAGTTTAAATAAGGCATATTTTCACATATTGTTCAAAAGAAAAGCACTCACATCTTAAAGTCGAATTAATATGAACACAATCATATCATATAATGATTATATTTATTTGCCTGCTGAATTCTGAACATATTGTTGAAGTAAACGACAAACGTCATATAAAGACGAACTTGGTAATCTTGACATATTGGATTTTCATTGATTTTTAGGCATTCGTTGAAATTATTTTTAGTATTTTCATGTTGACATAAAAATATGTCAGAATTAAGAAACGGAAAATCATGAAATTAATCGTATTTGTATTATGCATTTCGATTGAAGCAAAACGGAGAACGATAGAAAAATAGTTTAATTTTAATATGGATGAAATTGGGTAATACAGTTAGTAATACATAAATATATAATAT